TTATTATTCTATTAAAACTTATAATTTTTGTTTGTATTTATAGAGTTACTAAAGTATTTATGGCAATAAAATCTTAATATAAATTAAAACTAAAAATACTTTTAATTCAGGCGAATGTTTATATCATTTGAATTGTACGACAGATTCTGTTGTCTGAATCCAACCAACGGTGCGATGAATGCAGTGTTGATTGAATTCACTGATTATTATTAATCAACGAAATATATTGTGTCTACAAATCAGTAACGCTATTGATATGTCGCCGATAGCTCTGAATTCACGATATGTATAGAGTTTTGCAGTGTATATAAGAATCGGCAAAATATATCAGAATTTCAGTAAATTTTTATTTTTCCTGTGATTATTGACTGAATATATATTTTGTATAATAAATGCTTTCAAAAATCTATTGGTAAGTTTATATTTGTTTTATTTTTATTTGTTTAAATATCATCCATCATTTTATCCCATTAAAAGTTGTGTTATAAATGCTGTATATTTGCTGAAAATATATTGCTAATTTCAATTTTAAAAAGTTATATATTTTGTATGTTATGATCATTTCAAACAACTTGTTTTTTCTTACAAAAAATAATTTTGAATTGAATTAAACAACAATTTCAATTTTTTAAAAAAGTATTAACAAATTATGTAATGTTTAACATGTTTTATAACAAATGTTGTATGATTAACAAATTATAGAATTTTTCTGCTATTTTAATGATAAAATTAAATTTTTAATTTAATGTAATTTAATTATTATTAGACGTCAATTATTTTTATTAATTTTGCTAAACAAACAAATTATGTGTTTATAATTAAATTTTTGATAAAACATGGAAATTATTTCCGAATTTAAATAAAATCTAATTTAAAAGTTGAGATATTTTTATAAATAATGTATTTTTATGGAAATGAAGGATAAGATAACTTATATGTTTTACATTTAAGCCATTATTATGTTTGCATAAATAATATGAAACTTCTGTTACTATGGATTTAATCCTAATTTATTTTTATAATATAATTTTCAGACCATTTCAAGAATGTAAACGCATTTACATATTAAACGCCAGATATTATCAGAGAGTATATTAAATCAAATTCAGCTTAATCTTAACATATAAATCAAAATACAGTATATTTATTCAATCTGGAATATTTTTCATAAATATTACATTAATGTAAATTATCCACAATATAAACTATATTAAAACTTGTAACTTTTTATACTACATACAATCTATCTCAATTAGTCAACGGATATGCAAAAAATAAATAAAGTAATTTTCCGCAAAAACAATCAAAACATCAATTCTTATCGTAAGAATTAAATGATTGAAAGTTGTGTCAAATAATGTTTTATTTACATTTGAAAAAAGCGACACAAAAACACATACAATACATGACAGAGTAAATAAGGCATTACTTTTAGATACATTTAGTTATATACAGTATCACATGACTATAATCTAGGTTAATTCGCTAAAAATTACTTAAAGTTTCAGTAATTTCCAGCACTCCCTGCCGTTGACTGCCATACGCAGTAATTTATCTAACTCTAGAGTTATTAGCTTAATGTAAAGTCTGACTGAAATAAAAAACAACAAAAATTCACTGTATAAAGCAAGATAATTATGGTTATTTTAGCTCAATAATACCGAGTTTAATTCTATAGCCATTAGAACATATATTCTATGTGTTTATTCTACATATAATTATTAATTACTAATAAAATGCAATTAATGTCTGATATTATATGATATGAGAAGTAGAGCAACCGCAAAATGAGTCATTTAACATCATAGTAATATGCAGACTAAACAAAAACCATGAATTAGTCAAAAAAATCATAACATATAGTATTTAACTAATGCTTTAAAATGAACAAATAGTTGTAATAGTCATTATTCTGCTCAAAACTATGAAAAACGCTTCCAAAACGCTTCCAAACGGTTGCACTAATGAGAAGACATACAAATCCGTTGTTTAATGAATGATTGGGTAAAAGTAGTTATACTTTTGGCAGTAATTTGGGAAATAATATCCGATTACATGCTATGATGTGAATAGAAAGTAACATAAAAAAGTTAGCCCTTCACTACAGTATAGTAGTGTGAATGGGATTTAAATATAAAGCCCAACCACTCGTCTACACAATTGTATAGCACTGTATGAAATGTATGATTAAATTATAGTGAATGCCATGTATTTAATCAACAGTTTGATTGCGTGTCTGATGTCTAGCACACATAACACACACATACTCTGTATTATATTGTATTATAATTTAAAAAACAAGAGAATATTCTGTCAACAGAATAATAGGCGAGAATATTCTCGAACTTGAAATTTAAATATATATTGATCTGAATGTGTTTTAAAACATTTAATTTACATATGAATTCGTGGAAGAAATCATTTCATGAAACCAATTGAAAAAATGTTTTTATTGAAAGAATTTCTGATTCCGTTTTACTAATAGAAAATATATGAGAAATAAGTCTCTGATTTCATCGTAACCATAGATTTGCATATAATTTGACAGAAAAATACATTATTATATTTGACACATGTATTAATAGAGTACTTATTTATATGGCATAAGATCTTGAATTAAATCCACAAGTTTTTATGATCAGTGCAGAGAAAATCATAAATTGATTGCATTTCCAACATAAGAGACAACATTAAAATATTTTAAAAATTTTATGAAACATCTCCCTCTCTCTCTCACCCACTCTCTCACTCTAACTATATATACGACTAAATGCTCATTAATTTTATTTTGAGATTTCTGAAGGAAATTCGTGTTTAAGTGAAGAGAAAACATGAGTTTTGTTTTTATTTCCGTTGAGTACTTACTCGACATTTACTTTATTGTTAGCCAAAGATCTTAAAAATATAAGAATCTTAAAGTTTATGTATTTATGCAAATGTTTATTAGTTTGTAAATAACCTTCCGTTCAATTAATCCTATTTTGTTAAGAAATGGATTAAATGTATTTATTATGTAAAAATAAATTCTTGGATTTTGTGTCGGATGTGTATTACATGTGAGGTTAGTGTAGAAATACAGTATAGTATAAGTTATCATTGATATTGAATTTATATTTACTCAAGTAAATATAAAACTTTCTTAAAGCATTTTAAAATTAATATTTTTTAAAGTTTACATAAGACTAGCGAAGCAAACATTTATTACAACATATCTTACTTACAATCGTTAGAATTATGCGAAACAATATTAAAATATATTGAGAATTTCAAAGAATTTGTAATATATCTTAAGTGGATTTCTATTACTTTATAAGTTTCCTATATATTAATAAAAATAAATTGCTGTACAATAATCTAATCAATATGTTTTCAAAAAACAACCTTAAGTATATTAAAAGAGTGTATTCTGAAATCAATGTAATATCAAAAGTGCGTTTGCCGTATAGACGTAGCGATCAATTCAGTCAAACACAGGAGTGATCAAATAGGCTGAAAAGCTAGACTGGCAACACTATGCCCCATAGAAAATACATTATAGCAATGCCCGCCAATGCCCAATTATGCCCGCTTAGCTCTCCTATGGTCAAACATGTATTATATTTATTTACAAAACTGAAAGAATATTTTTAATGATAGCCAATGTTGTAATAGTTGTACAAATAGATTGCATGCTCATAGAATTTACTTAATGCACAAATGGACACATCGGTGAAATTTCACCACATTCATATACTGTACACATATTATACATATTGTATATACACAACAGAATAAATATTTTCATATCCAATAATGTTAAAAAGAGGTATGCATTTGAATGGATAGTCATTTATCAAAATTTTTTCTACAAAACAATAATTTATTGTTTTGTCACAAGTTATAAATGATAACATTTATTGTCATTATATATTTATAGATGTTTTTATTGATTGACTGTTAGAAAGAGATTTGTTTTTGTGTATAAATCCCGGGATAGTGTTATTGTCTTGTTTTTTGATACATCATTACATTGTCTATGCATTTGAACAGCACTTATGGCTATTAGAAGTTGTCAAAGACAATGTGAATACGATTGACAACAATTAGCAATAAAACAAGTGTTGAATGTTTGATACATGTATTATTTCCAAAACTAATAGATTTCTTACACTGAATAAAATTAAATAATTAAATTGATTTTTTTTGTCTAATTGTACATGTTATATTTTAGATTACTTTAATATTAAAACAAAATGTTTTAATTTGTTATTACATTTTATTATTTTTGACAATATTTAATTATCTCAATACATTCAATCATGTGTTTTATAGTTTTAACTATTTATAACTTATTTTCATTAAAATTCAATTTGCTAAATGCAATTGAAATTCTCATTTAAAAGCAATAAATATAATAAAAATAAAATAATATAAAATTTTCTCTCAACTTAAATCTCGAGAGAGAAATCAAATCATTTATAATCTCAAAAATACTAATAAAATCTAATGAAAATATTTCATACATTAATATAACTGAATATTTTTGTGTAGAGAAAAAGCGGACACAAAAGGACGGCACAAATGGATTCAACAAATTTGATTATTTTGTGCACAATATTTGTGATACAAATGCTTCATTTGGGAGCACCGGATAACTTGTAAATACATTTAGATACCATAGAAATGATGCTAATTTTTGGCCTATAGTTAACGACTAATAAATTATGCTTTTTCTGTGTTTGAAAAATATATGTTTAGGTATTCAACGAATTCAATGCTTGTCGACAGACTATTACCTAAATATTACGACCCATTAATGCCACCAAAACTTGATGGTAATAAAAGGATACTAATATTCTCTCTCTCTCTCTCTCTCTCTCTAACTTTTTTGTTCAATGATAGAAATGAATGTAATTTTATACAGAAATTGAAATCATTTTTATAGGAAATCCAGTGAAAGTTGACATAAAAATATCTATACTTAATATAAGATCAATAAAAGAGACAGAATTGGTTTGTATGATAAATAATGGATCAAAAATACAGTAAAGAATTTATACTACATCTTTTTTTGCATTCACGGCATATAAAATACGAAAATAATGGCCAATCAGTCATATATTGTGGATATATTTTACCATCAGTATTGGTCCGATTATAGGATATTACCCCAGAATCTAACACATGACCAAAGAATAGTATTGGATAATAAATGGAGACATAAATTATGGATTCCTGACTCGTATTTCAAGGTTTGCATCATTTCTTTATTCACTAAAATAATTACCAAAACTTATATTCATTATTTATTTATACATTATATTTATCCAGTATTATGTTTAGCTTTGTCAGAATATATCAGGATAAAACACACTACACATATGATTAAAACAATATGTTATTAATGTTATAATTTAAGTATTTATATAATATTTATTCCTCACTTAATTAATACAAATAATTAATTTATTACAAATAAAATGTGGCTAGCACTGATAAAACTAATCTATCTACTTTGCACACAGAACGCATTGAGCGGTCACGTGACTGATATAATATTCCCGACACTATATTTTGCGGTTCACAATCAGACGGAAGTATTTATGGCTTCTCGGTATTGGACTCCCATTAATCTTAATGTTTAACAAATATTATTGCAAATAGTTTTACATAAGTTTTTATAATATATTATTTACACAAAAAATTATAATAAATATTTTTTGTGTGTAAATAAATGAATTCTTCACAATGGATATGCCTAAAAAAATGTATAAGCCTTTAGGATACAGAACCCACATTTTAATATCTAGATCCTTTTGTGTTGAAAATGGATTTATGTTTAGTGGGATGTGAAATATTGCAGTACAGAATATTCTGTGGCAAACATTTTAATGAATTTTAATCGACCTGTAATATGTTTTTCATAGAAATTGTAGTAAATAATTCATGAATGTCTTTCGATAAAACTTCTCGCACTTGTTTAAGTCAATTATCAATTATTATATCACAAGAAAATTATTCTTATAATCATTATTAATGCTTATAATTATATTAAATGAAAGCTGTATAACAATAACATGTATTGTATTCGTGATAATAGGGTATCACTACAGTTGAGCTGTGATATGGATTTCGCCAAATTTCCTCACGACACCCAAACATGTCATATAGACATTATGTCACGTAAGGGCACCGACAGTCTCACCCCAACTACTTGTTTATTCATACATTGTGTTTGTGTTTATGTGAATGTCTAATGAAGTAGAAATTACCTATTGATTTATACCCTGATTATATACAATTGATCTGATTTTATGATACGAGAGTGTATTGTAATGTGTTGTTTGAATTTGCAAATAGTGTCACATAATATGAAAACAGTGATCCTCTCGTGGAAGGAGTTTTACATCACTCCTTACTTACATCTGTAAGCGATTTATATTTATTAATTTAATTATTATTATTATTAGTTTTAATTTAATATTACAAATATTAATCAGAATTATTGTTATTATAGTGTTAGACAATAGGTAATTTAATATATCACTTATATTAATAAATTAAATTAATAATATTGTTATTTTTATTTTAAATTAATATCTATATTAAATTTAAGAGATTCTGCAAAATTTATTCAGTATTTTATTTGTTTAAGAAAATGCAAAAATCATATAAAACTTTGGCTTATTTTGGATAATTTGGTCGTTTGTATAAAGAATTAGTTTTTTGTTATTTTTCTAAAAAATTATAATTCATTTGCATTTTCAATGACTTTTGATTAAATATATTAAGTTATTATATTTTATGACAAATGATTTGCATAAATATAAAACTCAAATAAAAAATATAACTTTTAAACTGCAGAATGTTTTTGTAGATATTCTCATAACTCATATAAAAGATAATATGATTTTTGCATAAAAATCAAAAACAATTCATAAGATATTTCCTTTCATATAATCGTCATAAATGTTTTGCATATATAAAGTGTATATTTGCGTAAATAAGTAATATTAGCATGATAATATGCTTTATATAATTATCATATATGCATTTAGGCCACAATTCTGGTTAGCCGGGTATTCACACGAGACATGTATGAGAAATTACGCCATCGGTAAGCAAATAAATCTTTATTACATTACATAATCGCTTCCCAATTAACAACACTATTGTTATTGAGTGTAATTTTATGTCAACACTTCCGACACACAGGAAAAAACTGATTAATATTAATGAGAAAACAATAATTTGCATGAATTTAAATAAAAAACAAATGTAGCATATTTGTAGCATGTATAATAATGTATGTCATTTCTTGTACCCCATGTCTGTCTCTCTATCTCTCGTTTATATCGCAAAACCAATGATTTAGGAAACTTCTCGTGTCTGAGAGGGACTCTACAGCTGAAGAGACAGCTCGGCCTCTATATCGTCAAGAAGTATATCCCCAGCACTTTGATTGTCGTCATGTCTTTCGTCGGCTTTTGGATACCCGTCACCGCATATCCGGCCAGAGTTGCGCTCGTAATGAAACACATGCTTTACATTTCACTTTCTAGTTATTTATATTCATAATAATAAATGCCTTTTAATTCAATTAGAATTTTTATCAATAACTTTTATCTCTATTTATAAATATGTATTATGTCTGGGGATTAATAGCATAATTAATGTTTTTTCATACACTATATGATTAGGTCATAACAGCTTTGTTGGCATTAATAACACAACAACACCAGAGCAGTGAAGTGAACGTCTCATACGTGATAGCGTTAAACGTATGGATGATTATATGCATAGCGTTTGTATTCTTTGCGCTCATAGAGTATGCCATCGCTATTGCCTATTGTGAGGCCTTTTACCGACTCATCACTACCAACGATGACAACCATCACAACCATGTATTACATCCCAGTTATTACCATTCATTATCCCATTGCCATAACACTTACACTATATTTATAAGCGTTAGTTTATGTAATGTAAATAATCAGTTTTTATGAATATATATTTAAAAGTAAAAACTATCAGTGTTTATTAGTTGAAATGTCGTTTAAAGTATGGTCAGTTGCAAACGGATTATTTTCGTGTTTACATTCTATTGTTGTGTCCAATTGTGGCTTAAAATATCCATTGATTATTAGTTTTAATTTATTTGTATCCAAATCGCATATTAATGTCTGTCCAACCGCTGTCTGGCCACCCGTAAGACAAGACATATTAGACATTGTTTTATACAAATTTTTAAGGAGTTTATATGACACGGTTGCTCGCTAGTAAAATCAAATATATTTATCATGTAAATTGAATGAGTATGGGCAAATGACCACTGTAGCTAAAAATGTGCCGCACCCTTGATTGTGGCCGTGGTGGTCACCCGATGTTTAGTCACTTATCGGTAGTTTTGAAACTGGTTCGAGATTCCGATGCTAAACATATTGGCTGACGATATGTTCATAGAGTAGGGATGCATTGAATAGGCTATTGTGGATCACTTAGAGATGTTTAAGAACGGCTAGCGATTAAATTAACGATGTTTTTACATTATTTCAATGCTAAAAAACTTCCCCGAAAAAGTAATTTTGAAATTAAAAACCAAATAAAAGTTTACTAACAGGGGATATAAAATCTATACCCACCCTGCCTTCAACCATGATATACCCCCAACTGATTATCACAGATACCCATCATTTCTAATGTGTGTCTGAGAAATGGCTCTAAAAATGGCAAATGTCATCAAATCGGGGGTGTTTTGAGTTTTGGTCTTAAAATCCAGTTTAATCGTCAGTTAGGAAATTGAAAATTTTGTGACACAATGGGAGATAATAGATGATTATTGTAGTGAATAGACCGGTGATCAAAGTTCATTATCTTAAGAATAAAATAGACATGAATTTATCACTTCAAAAAGACATTTCAACTAATAATGCCTGATATTTTCTTTGCACTTGATAGAAATTGTTTTACATTTTTTAAAATCACCACAATCTTTAAGAATCAATTTCTCGCAAATTCTTTATTAAATTTCTTAAATCGATGTTTTATAGAAACCAAATAACATAGAAATACAGTCGGCTTTTGAGCCAAAAAGTGGCGGCGAATTGAAGCGACACAAGAAAGCGAAATGGATTCACCACATGATCGACACGTCCAGCGGTGGTCACATCAAGTTGACCAACATCTTGGACACCGACCCCCACCACATGCCCGCCAACACCGTTGACATCATCTCCCGATACCTCTTTCCCATCGCTTTTATTGTTTGCGTCTTTTTCTACATATTATATCTCTATGTCCTCTAAATATTGTGTTCAAAACATTGTATTTTAATAAATGTATATATATTTTACTTTAAATAATTAATACTTAAATATATTTACTTGTGAGAGTGATTGGTATTATATGATGTGATTATATTAATTGAATGTATTTATTAATACAAAGACTAATTTTTGATAATAAAATTATCCTTGTTTATGTTAAGTGTATTTAATTATATTTAGTGGATTGCGATTAAGAATAAAGCAAAAATAATTAAATTATTATTCATTATTATTAGAATAAATTATTCTGAATAACAATTATAAAATCTATTTAAATATCGATATAATGCAAAAAACATAGACTTTAAATATGACATAATATTAGGAAATGAAATCATTGAGATTCCGATCCACAGACCAATAGTACCGCCCATATTATAGACCACTTCCGGCCAATCCATTGCCAACTCTTCGCGGATTTGTGTCTCAAAGTAATGATTGGGTATAATATTTATTTCGGTGTAATTTAGACGACGAGAGTCTGTGATATCATACAAACCATAGCGTAAAAAGTGGCAAAACTGATTCTTTAGTAATTGTTTGCATTTAGTTTGAGGGGTCGTCCCATTCATTACGAGCGACATATTGTATGGACAAAACTGATAGCCCGTGTGTTTCACAAATCGATTGATCGGAACGTAACCATCGGTTGCGGGAATACAACCCAGGGTTTGATTCCACTCCTGACACATGCATTCAGTCACGTGTTTATTCCAAACGCGTTGTTGTTGTGAATAGACATTCGCATAATATTCCATCCCTTCATCAGCGCATCGATAGGTGTTTCGCGACAATCGGTTGTAAAAATAAGTGCTGTACACTATATCTGTGCGCCGATTGGCCTTCATAAGTAGGAGTTCTTGGTACATGGTGGATAGGAAATATATTTTTAGCCTAATAAACGGATCAGGGACTATTTTAATGACAATCTTTCTAGGAGATAAAGTATTTATATTTCCCATTGTTGTGGCATTCATTGATTTAATTTTAGGTATGAAATCCATGTATTGACTTATTTTCAAATATCCATTAAAAATCTGTATATAATTGTCTGCTTCCGGACAGCGAACGCGAACTGATTGGTCGTATTGAACGTAACACTCGATAACATTGCGCTCGTAATCGTAGATCACGTCACGAATTAACGGCAATGAATTGGTGGCCAGTATTAACTCAAACACTTTACTGATTATTTGTCCCCGTGTCAATTTACGTTTGTCTCTAAAATAATAACATACAATAAAACTTAATATTACATAATCTTATATAAAAGTGAAAAATGAAAATGATTGAAATTAAATGACTTATACAGTTATAATAAATCTTACTTTATATTAATAGCTTTAAACACATGTAACATATGGTTACTATGTTTTGCAATATTCTTAGTCTTAATATTATTAAAAGTAAATGAAAGCCGTATTTCGGGTATTCTAACCATTCGTTTCATTTCAACATTAATTTTAATGTTATAATCATTAAAATCGGAGTAAATGTAATGCATTTGAAATCCCATAAGACTTAAGCAAATAATTAATGTAATTCTTTGAATATACCGATTAAAATGGATATAATTTGGATTCTTTAAATGTTTATTAAATTTTATATTAATAATCATTATTTTAATTTTATCTAAAATGCTTGCAATCAATGAATAGATACTAAATCCTAAATACATTCCCATTAATCCTCCGATTGATGACAAATAAGCCGTGAAATCAGTTTTCGGGCAATAATTCCAAACAATTGACGGAAATTTAATAAAATCGCTCAAAAATGAAATTTGTTTGTATTTCTCCCAAATGTGATAATTTCTAAACCTATTGACTGTTACTTCGGGAATGTATTGTTTACATTCAGACTTACAAACTATATATAGGAGTCTATAGTCTGGACTAACCCCGCATTGCCTGTCCGTACCGTTTAATAAGTATTGTTTAATGTCTTTAATTGATTTCAAATCCCAATAGAGATGACGTCCACAGCGTTTGGCCTCCAATTGTCTCATCACTCGTAACATACAGTTCTCTCTTGACGTCGGGTTTTGGACATCAATTTGTGTAGAATTACCAGAAATATGGTTATTATAGTCCACACAATCAGTCCTATAGGGGGCCGGCAATAGGGTCTGCACTTTGACATCAATTATAATGTCGTAAAATGAATTTGTGGTCAATATATTAATTGGACTGAAATGTGAGGGATTTAACATCGGATGCATTACCACATCTAACCTATCAATGAAATGAGTCGATACAGCAATCCTTATAGAGTGGTCAATAATAGGGTTGGCACAACTGCCGTATGTCAGACATACACTACCATCGAGTTTGAGTCTGGCCAACACAGGACACACTTTATCACACGATAGGTATACTGTTTTATTCATAAAAATACATTCATATGTTTTTATTTTTCTAAGAAAACTGGTCACAGATTTATTGGCATAAGTGCTATATTTCTGATTATAGCAAACAGTTGTTGAACTTCTATACACCCAATGATGTAGTGTTCGGTCGAACTTTAAATCCGTGATTATATCGTACGACAAATAATTGATTGTTTCCACACATAAGTGATACACAAATCCCAACAAAATTATTGCTTTTATTATATGATTTAGTTTTAATTTATATTGACATATCAATTGAATTACTGTACTTAAAAATATCATTGTTTTATTATTTACTGTGAATTAATTGCTAGAAATGTTTGTAAAAATTTATAAATGGTTATTATTTAATATAAATATATCATAAACTTAATCAATAAATTTGCTTTAAAAACGTTATTATTTTTGTAATGTTTTCTATTTGAAATGTAATAAAATAATGATATGCAATATACTTTATGATACCTTTATTAATTTTTATTTGGTAAATATCTTTTCCAAACAATAATATGTTTTGGTGACAGACGTAAATAGCACCTATTGAATTTTATAATTAAATTCTATTAACAATATAAATCATTAAATGGTTTACAATTCATTTTATCAATATAATTTATCATGAGATTATTTATTTATTATACTATTCATTACATTAAATAATCATCTAAAACTGTTTTGTTATAATAAATAGAAATACAGCATATTTCTAACATAAATTTAAATTTATTGAATATTAATTTCGGATAACAAATAAAATGATTTGTATTATGTAGTATATTTTATGTTAATTATTCTAATAATGGCTTTATTATATTTAAGAAATTACATCATCTGGTGTTCTATGGGAACCCCATGTAATCCAATGTGTTTTTTGAAAATACACACAAATATACAAAGACTTCATATAAATGAGTTAATTATTACATTTTTTGGGTCTTTCTATGGTACTCGAGCTGGTTTTGTGTTTTATCATTTCAGTGCATGCACTACTAATAAAATATATTTAATTAAGCAGACTTTGCATTTATTAACTTAATTATTCAATGTTTTGATTAAAATCGAGAAATTTCTAAGAAATTTCTTTTTGGCCAATACTATTAATTTAGAAATACTTTTTATTTTTAAAATTGATATTAATTTACTTATATATAGTTACACAATTATTGATTAAAATTATAATAAAAATAGTTTAGACTCCGAGTTATATATCGATGGAGTTTTGCAAACATTGTACACAAATATAGCATAATATTAGGAAATGAAAGCATTGAGAGTCCGATCCATAGACCGACAGTACCGCCCATATTATAGACCACTTCCGGCCAATCCATTGCCAACTCTTCACGGATTTGTGTCTCAAAGTAATGATTGGGTATAATATTTATTTCGGTGTAATTCAGACGACGAGAGTCTGTGATATCATACAAACCATAGCGTAAAAAGTGGCAAAACTGATTGGTTATTAATTGATGGCATTTAGTATGAGGTGTCGTCCCATTGATTACGAGCGACATATTGTAGGGACAGAACTGATAGCCCGTGTGTTTCACTAAACGACTGATCGGAACGTAACCACGAGTTGCGGGAATACAGCCCAGGGTTTGATTCCACATCCGACTCATACATTCATCTATTCGTTTATTCCAAACGCGTTGTTGTTGTGAATAAACATTCGCAGACTCTTCCACCACTTCATCAGCGCATCGATAGGTGTTTCGCGACAATCGGTGGTAGGAATAAGTTTTGTACACTATATCTGTGCGCCGATTGGCCTTCACAAGTAGTAGTTCTTCGTACATGCTTGACAAGAAATATATTTTTAACCTAACAAATGGATCAGGCACTAATTTAATAACAATATTTCTAGGAGATAAGGCGTTTATTGTGCCCATGGTCGTGGCATTTATTGACTTAATTCTAGGCATGAAATCAAAGTATTGACTTATTTTCAAATATCCAATGAAAATCTGTATATAATTGTGAGCCTCCGGACAGCGAACGCGAACTGATTGGTCGTATTGAACGTAACACTCGATAACATTGCGCTCGTAATCGTATATCACGTCCCGAAGTAATGGCAATGAATTGGTGGCCAGTATTAAACGAAAGGTTTTACTGCTTAATTGCCCATGTGTCATTCTATGTTTGTCTCTAAAACAATAACATATTATAAAGATTTAATATTACATAATAATAAAAATAAAAATGAGAATAGAATGAGAATAAAATGATTAAAATTAATCTACTTATAAAATCAGTTATGATTAATTAAACTTACTTTATATTAATAGCTTTAAACACATGTAACATATGGTCACTATGTTTTGCAATATTTTTCCGTATAATCTGATTAAAACTAAATGAAAGCCTTATTTCCGGAATTCTAACCATTCGTTTCATTTCAACATTAATTTTAATGTTATAATCATTAAAATCGGAATAAATGTAATGCATTTGAAATCCCATAAGACATATGCAAACAATTAATACCATTGTTTTACTATAACGGATATAACGGTTATATTTTGCATATTTCCTTAATTGACGGTTAAATCGTATATTAATTATCATTATTTTAATTTTATCT